AGTGAGTCATAATCTTTTTGCTGGTGGAGCATCTTGCCTTGATGTTGATGACTGCCGACTCCTCAGGGTGGTGAATACTACAGGTTGGGGTGGCTGGGCAGTTTTTGAAAATAAGAAAATAATAAAGTTTACCTCATCAATTGACTCTTTCTTTCACAAACGATTTCTCTGTAGCGTGCAGTGCTGTTTGAAAGCAATTTACTCACAGTAGAACTTCTTTCAAATTGGAGTCAGTCCTCTCAAACCCTGCCCCTGCTCTATCAACTAAATTTATGTAATATTCGAAATCCTTTGGTATCATTTCAACAGTCTTCACAGCAACTTCACCAGAAATAGATTCCATCAGAAGAAACCACTTTCTTTGCTCATCCATAAGAAGCAATTCTTCATTCTTTAAAGTTTTATCATGAGATTGTGGCAATTTAGTCACATCCTCAGGCTCCACTTCTAATTCTAGCCCTCTTGCTATCTCCATCACTTCTGCAGTCACTTCCTCCACTGATGCATTGAACCCCTCAAAGTCATTCATGAGGGTTGGAATCAACTAATTCAGACTCCCGTTAATGTTGATGTTTTGACCTCTTCCCATGAATCAGGAATGTTCTTAATGGCATCAAAAATATTGAATACTTTCCAAAAGGTTTTCAATTTACTTTTCCCATACCCATCAGAGGAATCATGACCTATAGCAGCTATAATGTATTTCTTACATGATAGAACTCCTTGATCCATGGGCTGCAGAATGGATGTTACGTTAGTAGGCATAAAAACAACATTAATTTCATTGTATATCTTCATCAGAGCTCTTGGGTAACCAGGTAATTTGTCAATGAACACTAATATTTTGAAAGGAATCTTTTTTTCTGAGCAGCAAGTCTCAAAAGTGGACTTAAAGTATTCAATAAACCATGTTGCCAAGAGATGTGCTTTCACCCAGGCTTTGTCATCCCATTTATAGAGCACAGGCAGAGTAGATTTAGCGTAATTCTTAAGGATCCTAGGACTTTCAGAATGGTAAAGGAGCTTTGGCTTCAACTTAAAGTCACCAGCTGCATTAACCCCTAACAAGACAGTCTGTCTGTGCTTTGAGGCTTTTGAAGTTGGGCATTGACTTCTCTTCCCTAGCTATGAAAGTCCTAGATGGCATCTTCTTCCAATAGAAGACTATTTTGTCTACATGGAAAATCTCTTGTTTAGTTGTAGTCACCTTCATTAATTATCTTAGCTAGAGCTTCTGGACAACTTGCTGCAGCTTCTACATCAGCATTTGCTGCTTCACCTTGTACTTTGATGTTACTGAGACAGCTTCTTTCCTTAAACCTCATGAACCAACCTCTGCTTGCTTCAGACTTTTCCTCTGCATCTTCCTCATCTCTCTCAGCCTTCACAGAATTGAAGAGCGTTAAAATCTTGCTCTGGATTAGGCTTTGGCTTAAGGGAATGTTGCGTCTGGTTTGATTTCTATCCAAACCACTAAAACTTTCTCCATATCAGCATTAAGACTGTTTTGCTTTTCTATCATTCATGTGTTCACTGGAGTAGCACTTTTAATTTCCTTCGAGAACTTTTCCTTTGCATTCACTTGGCTAACTGCTTGGCACAAGAGGCTTAGCTGTCAGCCTGTTTTGGTTTTTGACCTGCCTTCCTCGCTAAACTTAATCATGACTAGCTTTCAATTTAAAGTGAGAGAGATGCAACTCTTCCTTTCACTTGAACACCTAGAGGCCATTGTAGAGCTACTAATTGGCCTAATTTCAATATTGCTCTGTCTCAGGGAATAGGGAGGCCTGAGGAGAGGAAGAGAGATGGGGAAAGGCCAGTCGGTGGAGCAGTCAGAACACACATAACACTTATGGATTAAGTTAGCTGTCTTATATGGGCATGGTTCACGGTGCCCCAAAACAATTACAATAGTGACATCAAGATCACTGATCACAGATCACCATAACAAATATAATAATAATGTAAAAGTTTTAAATACTGCGAGAATTACCAATATGTGACACCGAGACATGAAGTGAACAAACACTGTTGGAAAATTTGCGCCAGTAGACTTGAAGGCAAGGTTCAGTTTGTAAAAAAACACAATATCTGTGAAGCACAATAAAATGATGTATGCCTATACTCTTTAATCTTTAAAAAGAAACCCACAACATAAATTAGTGAACAGATTTTAGGCTTCAGAATCGGAGAAACTGAGTTTGACTCTAAGTGTATGGCCTTAAGTAAGTTACCTAAACACTCTGAACTTTGTTTTCCATATTAGTAAATGGACAGATTAGTACCTTCATCTTTTTTGCGAAGCTAAATCTCCAGTAGACAAGCAAACTTATACTAGGTACTCAAAATAATTTATGCTAATTATTATTTTAAAAGAGATCATGAAAAACTGAATTAAAAATGGAGCCTCTAAAACATTGAAAAACAGCATTCTATTTTTCTTTTTGAAATGAAATTATCTTAAATTGGAAAAATCTTCACTTGTATTCATAAAGACATTGTTTGTAGTTTATAAGATCAAAAAGAAATTTACTGTATGTAAAGTGCCAGAACAATTCATATTACTAAGGTTCCAATACCTGCAGTTCTTACCCTATTCAGCTTGTTCATCAGATTCACCTAAGAGGGAATATTTCACAGCAGTTCAAAGTTCTAACTGTGAACCATGAGGTAATCGAATTTCATGCAGCTTCAGTTCTAACCAGTTCCAGTTCCAAGTTTAAGAAAGGGAAGAGTAATGCCACCACATTGTATAAACGATCAACATCTGAAAAAGATCAAATCAGAACCATTTACTCAGGGCTTGCTATAGACAGGAAGCAAATAAGGTATAGAGTATCTCTTGCCAGGAGATGAAAAATATAGTGGGAAATACAACAGGCAGGTTAAATATAGGTTCCCTCATGCCTGGGGGTGTCCCATTCTCCTTGGTTACATATGGTCAAAGTAAGGGGTGGAGATAAAAAAGATGCCCAGTCTAGAACAGCAGTCCCACCAATGTTTACTCTATCTTGGGCCATCTAATATTATGACCTGCATAAGAAGAAGGCTACAGGTGTTGCAATTCATCTTGCTGCTACTGTTACCTAAAACGAGAAATGGGAACTAAGGCAAGGGAAGAAAAAGGTCTATGTGGTTTTCATTTTTCCTCCATCTTTTTCATCATTTGATTGAAAAAGTGACTATTTGAAGACAAGTGGGTCCAAGAACATAGTGTTCATATTTGCATGGTGGAAAATACACATTGTGTTTGTTTTGTTTCTGTTTATCCAGTTTTTTTTCTTTTTAACACAGTGATGTATCATTAGGAAAGCTTCAGGCATGTAAGAGCAGCCTAATCTTGTAAATATTAACTTTACTGAATCACATCTGTCCTTTAAATCAAGCCCCTAGAGACTATGAGGCAAGTGGAACTAAATTACACAAAGATCTCAAATGGTCATTTAAAATGTATCTTTGTGTAGTTTTCTATGGATCAGAGTAGTCTTTTTGTAAACTTTTTTAAAAAATCACTTTTGTAAAATGAATTCAGCTATTCTGAACTGAGTGTTAAACCAAAGCAAACTGCAGCAATATGATGTAATAGAAACTTATGTATACTAATCTCCTTAATCTTTTACCATCTAAAACATTTGTCTTTCTTTATGACACAAATATATACACATCTGCGTATTGAAGTAATACATGTTCAATGAAAAGGAAAATCAAAAGCTATGGTTTCACTCTCTGATTTAACTATTGTTATATCCAGCTTTTTATTTTTTACCCCCATGCCTAAGTTTAATCATTGACTCAACAAATACATATTTATTGCCTACTCTGTCCAAGGCACTGTTGCTTGTCACTGGGGGTATCTCTGTAAGGATGAAATGTTTTCTGTCGATTTGGAGCTTTTTATTTAATGGGGGAGAGAGAGAAGTGAAATTTACAAAAAAAAATTTTTAAATTTATCCTAAGTTCTATGTGAGGAAGTCATGGAAGACATATTTGAGGACATAATATTTGAACTTCGATGAATGGGAATTGATAATCAGAAGGGGCTGGGATGGGTGAGGACAATCATAGGTAAATAGCACAGCATGGTCTTATGAACTACATATTATATTATGGTCTGCATTAAAATCTTCCCACATCAGGATTCTGCTAAGCACAGGGTTCATTAGTCCATTGTATGACTTCATTATATGCAATTTACATAACCTATCTCATTTTTTGATATTTTAGATGCAGAATTAAGAAATGGTGCACTTCCTTCTTATGTACAGAGCCTTAACTTATGAGATGATTTCTTTAGGATAAATTTAACTTCATAGTAATGGGCTTGTTCAATCAAAAGATATACACATTTAAAAATATTTTTTAAAAAACATATTGCCAAATTCACTCCTGAAAAGTTCTTTCCACTCCCACCAAAACTGTATGGGAGAATCCATTTCTCCATACTCTCAGTAAACCTTGGTATTATTCCTTCTAATTTTTGCCAATTTGATTGGCAAAAAAGTAAAAAGCATTTGACTCCCTTTATTTGCATTGAGTTTCAACATTGAAAAATATTGTGAACTAGGCAGGCAAATTAGCTGATTAGTTTTGCAGACTCTGATGTATACTAAACCAATGAAGAGATATAACGATGAAGGACAAGGTTCTGATTTCTATTTTTACTTTGCTGTTTTTGGTTTGCTGCAGAAACATAGACTTTTTATGGAGTGGAAGACATGGATACACGAGGTTGGATTTTTGATAGCTGAAAAAGATTTGGGGAAGATCTACAAATGATGAAACTTTTACTATAAATGCCATGATATATAAAAATTACAGAATATTTTTATTATTTTTTTAATCTAAATTCCATACCACCTGTAGATTTTAATAAAGAAAAGATTATTAGGAATTCTGGTTAAAAATAAAGTTAGTCTCTACTTATTCCAAATGTTGCTCATACAATACCTGTGAATGATTTCTTCAAGTGATAGTGCTTTTTTGCTTTTTTCTCTCCTAAGGAAAAACTGGTCTACTTCCTGGATTGTTCTTTCTAGTCGAAAAATTGAATTTTACAAAGAATCCAAGCAGCAGGCTCTGTCTAATATGGTGGGTAGTTCTCTGTTTCTACTATTATCATGTTTACAGAAATATCGTTGAATTAAAAGTTTGGTTTCAACAGAAATCACACTAAAGCCTCCAAGCTATCAACATCTGAAAGCAGATGGAGGAAAATGACTCAATAAACTTTTAATCAGATGAAGGGAAAATAGAACTTAGTGTTTGTTTTATTAAGTGGTGCATTTGGAGAATAATCACAAAATGAGATGAATGGCAAGCAGCTCTCTAGTAATGGGAAGGTAACACTTTAAATTAAGGTGCCATTTATAAATGCTTTATTCTTATTTATGAAATGATCACTAAATGCAGCTACTTGCTCAAATAATGTAGTATAAAGTATGTTATAAAATGCATTAGTAATAAATACTTAACGGATGAGACTATGGAAAGCTGTTTTAAAGAATATTATAAGGCATAAATCGTATTAAACCATGTATGTGCATCTTTAATACATGAATTTAAGTTGTTATCTAGCATGCTATAAAGTGCTTCACACATTAATAAATAATAATAAACTGTTTATAAATGATACCTTAATATAGGGTGTTACCAATGAGGAAACACTCTAAGTTAACAGTGATTTTTTATCTTAGTCTAACTGTGACATTCACTGCATCCAGCTAACCTTTCTGAACAGTTCTATGACTCCATCTAATGGAACTAATACAATTTCTGTATCCAATAGTTATTACAAAGTGAAATTTGTAGGGCTTCTTGATTTGTACCTGGAGGAGGGCATCATATATGCCCACAGAGATTTGACAGTGATAGTAGGAGCAATTCTGAGCTAGTTACTGGGGCAATTCAAGCTCAAAACCTTGCTGCCCAAACACCAGAGCTGCCACACGATGTTGGAGACAGTGGGCAAGCAGCATATCTGACAGCCTCCTGAGTAGGAAGGACTCTGGGCAGGAACCAACCTGCCATACCCCAACGGCCTGATGGGCAGCAGGGAAAAGGGGTCTCCTGGCAGGAATTAACCACAATGAACTAATTTGTATTTGGCAGGTAATAAAACGATGGAAGATTCTTTGCTTTCCAGCCACTAGTCGTGTTTGCTATGTAATCCTCTTTAAATAGGAAATAGAAAATCATTTGCTAGGAGATTTTTTTTTTTTTTTTAAAGGAGAAGATTTTAGTAAGAACAAAAGGTAGCATTTGGCTTGCTCCTGTTAATTGCAATAGCCTTTATCCCCAAGTAGCTTGCTGATTTTGGAGTCTCGGTGCAGTCCAATCTGTAAACTAATTATGAATAAATTAAAAATATATCTCAGTCCTTTGTATTTTTAATTTAAACTGCCTCAGAAATTTGTTTTAGGGTTTTGTTTTGTTTTTATTTTTTGGCTACAGTAATGTTGAGATAATCTTTTTAAGAAAAATAAGGTATCCCTAAAGGCTAGGTACAAAACAACTCCCATCCACCCACGGGTCCTTTGTCTTCCCTTTGAATGAGTTCTAAAGGGGAAATCAGGAAGGGAGGAAAGTCACTTGCCTTGATGAATTTGGCTGCTGAGAAGATGATCTTCATCCTGCTGGGTGAGAAGAATTCCATTGGAGCAGAGTTTATGTGAATGTGCTGGGATAATGGGAGAGATTAGATTCCAAGTTAAAGCATTTGGTTTATTTTTATTTTATTATTTTAGTCTCCTCATACCAGGAGATAGTTATCAGGTGCTTAATTTTGTACAGGTGGAAGAAACTCCCCCTTACTGTAGGCAAACTTTGCAAGTCAGCTCACTAATTGCATGCCTCTAGTTCAAGCTTCAGAACTGTTGTAAATTGATGATAGATTTTACTTTTAGAGGAAATTTGTTAACCCCCTTTTTTTTTTTTTTTTTGGCAGTCCCTATTTATTACTTCTAGTCCCATTTTCAGTGCTCTTATGGTTTCTCCCAGACACTCATTGTCTTCAAAGCAAATTCTGGGCAGGAACTAACTGTATTTTGTGGTAGTAGGGGAAAGAATTGCAGATTCCTGTTTGTACTGCATGGATTGTCTTGCTAGTCAAGTTCTTGGATACATTTCTAACCAAATATTAAAGGCCTGGTGGGATAGCCCACATTTACCAATTCCAGTCTCAGAGAAATGATATGATGATTACCAGGCCTTGATGAAAGATACTGTGGTTTTATTTTGAAAGAGATTTATGCTCAAGTTTCTGAATTTCTCTTGTGCCCCCTTACACATGTCCTGGTATTACTGTTCATTGTACTTCTGGGAAAGTCTGTCCTTTTCTCCAAGGGGGTCTGTAGAAGCTGCCTAAGTGAGTGCAAAATGTGGCTTAAAAGAGTAAATGGCATTTTAATCTGTACAGGAATGATCTTTGAATGTTAATGCAGTGGTGAGACAAAGCAGCAGAGTAGCTAGGAGAAGGGCTTTGAAGTTCAACCATAGGGAGCTTTATTCTAGTTTTGCCACTTAGGAGCTGACAAACTTATTCAACTGCTTTGAGCTTCAGAATCCTCATCTGTAAAGTGGAGATAGTAATATTTGCCAAGAGAATTAGTAAGGAATAAAATTAGTTAATAAAATAAAAATATGCATAGTAGCCATAAAATAATTATTATATTCTAATATACTCCATTAAAATATAAATATACTGTATTCTATAGTACATAATATAGGGTATAATATAATTATAACTTATCATTATACTATCTTAGTTTTGCACTTGAATTGATTCACACGTGCGTAGAAGAAAAGGTATATTAATTCAAGGAATACCAGCGTGTACTGTCTCCAAAAAAAGAAATATGTATCCATAGGCAGCATAAAATATTGTGTCTGAGCACTGAATAATTCTGAAAATGAAGCCATTTCTCCATTTGGGGTTCTAGATGTAATATCCTGCTTATCCATATATATTTTCCTGGGACCCTCATCTTCCTTCATTGTCTCTTAACCTTACTGCTTTCACATTTAATACAGAATGTCACACGGTGTTGTGCCTGATCCCACATTCCATGTTTGACTATATTTCTTTCTCACTGAAATTCTTTCAGTTCATAACCAAGTTACATTTTTATCAAAAGCAGCCTCCCCCTGAAAAGAAACACAGTCACTTTGCTGGTGTGTGTAAATCAGAGATTCATAGGCTCTGGGTCCTCAGTGACCTATTCAAGGAAAAGAAGGACTGACCTATTCTGTTTTTCTTTTTTAATGACATTAAAGAGTAAAGTACTGCCTACTACTACTGTCACTTTCTAACAGAAAGGACATTGTATAATACCCCAATCCTAAATCTAGGTGGGATAAAACCTCAAAATTAAAGACAGTCTTTACCAAGAGAGGAAACCATCTCCCTCCTACGTCTACATACATTGTCTCTGTTTTGTTCACTTCACCTCAGACCAGAGAAAGTTTGGTCCAGACTGGCTGGCCCTCCTGTGAAAAGGAGCATTGGAAAACCACTGGTGTCCTTAGTTCCGGATTTTCTGGATTATAAAGGAAAGGACAGTGTTCTTATTCTGTATTCTGATTTGTAACTCACTTTAAAATTTTAAAATATTGTCACTGGAAAATAACAGAAACCATTTTTAGTAAAATGTATAAAACATGTATGTATATTTTAACAGTTATAATCAAACTTCTACATAACCACCACCCAGGGCAAGATGCACACCCTGCCAGCCCTCCAGAAGCCCCACCCCTGCCTATTGTCTGTATGTCATCACAGCCTCTTCCCTTGCCACAGACTTAAATGGCATTTTAGTCATTATTTTATCACCCTTTATTATTTTCCCACCTATATCTGTAGCCCTTAAAAATATAGTATACTTTGTCTGCTTTTGAATTTATAAAATGGAATCACAGCATGTGTTTCTTTTGTTTCTTGCTTCTTTCTCTAAATATCAATATGTCCTGCTTTTTCCTTCCTTTCATTTTGTTTTAATCATTTCATATTTTTCTTTACTGTTTTAGGAGTGATACACTTGGTGTTCTGTTAGTGACTTGCCTAGAATTATAACTTATTGAAGACTAAAGCTATTCAAATATTACTTTAGAATAGTTTTAATTCACTTATCACCTTTCCAATGTATATGCTATTTCTGTCTGTATTTTAATTCTTTTTTAACACCACTAGACATTATTTATTCTCTTTTATAGAATCAATATTGATTTTTATTTGCCCAATATTTGCCATGTTCCTTGTTATTTATATATTCCTGTATCTTAGACCTTCCCTCTAGGATTATTTTTTCTTCTATTTGAAGTATATTCTGAGAAATTCCTGTAGTAAGGGTCTTGTCGTGACAATCTGTCTCAGCATCTGCTTGTTTCAAATGTCTCTATTTCTCCATCATTTTGGAAATATATATTCTCTCTGGATATAGAATTTTGAGTTGGCAGTAATACTCTTTTGGCACATCAAAGATATCATTCCACTGTTTTCTGTCACCCATTATTGTTATCAAGAAGTTACCTGTTAATCTAACCACTGTTCTTTGGTCCCTCATAATATTTTCTCATTACCTTTGTGTTTCCACTGTTTCACTGTGATGCATCCAGGTGTCAATATCTTTTTATTTTCCCTGCCTGGATTGTTGGGCCTCTTGAAATTGATTATAACTGTCATTAATGTATTTTACAAATTTCCAAGCTATTATCTTCTCAGATGTAGCTTCTTTTACATTTTCTCTCTTATTTTCTTCTAAGCCCCTAGTTAAACCTATGTTAAATTTTCTCACTCTATCCTCCACATGTTTTATATTCTTCTTTCTTTCTGTCTTTCTGAACTGCATTCCAAATAACTTATCTTGATTTATCTTCTAATTTAACTCAGTCTCCCTTTGTGATAAACATTATTTTTATTTCAATTATTATAATTTTTATTTCTAGAAGTTTGTTTCTTTTTTAAATTTACTATGTCATTTGTTGTAGGTTTTTTTCCTGAATGTTAAAGACTCTCTTTTATTTTGTGAAAATTAGAAGGCATAGTTTTTTTATATTCTGTGTCTTGTGATTCTAGCATCTGAAGTCTACATCAG